TAATGACGCCAGCGCTGCAGCGGGAGCAAGATTCGGGACTGGCGGAAGCGCGGAAACGAGGCCAGCGCTGCAGCAGGAGCACGATTCGGAACGAGCGGTAGTCCGAAAATGAGGCCAGCGCTTCAGCGAGAGCAGCATTTTGAAACAATCCCAAGCGGAAACCCAACTCCCCGGAACCATGTGTGCAAACAAACAGAGCGCAGAGGGGGCCGGATATTTCCCGGACGCCACCAGGGGAAAGATGAGAGTAGTATTCCTACTCTGTAATTGTGGAGGAGGAGGAGGAGGAGGAGGAAAAGGGGGAAGAGGAGGAGGAGAGGGAGGAGGAGGATGAGGAGGAGGAGGAGGAGGGAGGAGGAGGAGGAGAGGAGGAGGAGGAGGAGCATGAGGAGGAGGAGGAGGAGGAGGAGGAGGAGGAGGAGGAGGAGGAGGTAGGAGGAGGAGGAGGCAGGAGGAGCATGAGGAGGAGGAGGAGGCGGCGGAGGAGGAGGAGGAGGAGGAGGAGGAGGAGGAGGAGAGGAGCGGAACAGAGCAGGAGCAGGAGCAGGAGGCAGGAAGCAGAAACAGGGGCAGGAGCAGGAGCAGGAGGAGGAGCAGGAGCAGGAGCAGAGAGCAGGAAGCAGCAACAGGAGCATGGCAGGAACAGGAGCATGAGGCAGGAGCAGGAGGCAGGAGCGGGAGGAGGAGGAGGAGAGGGAGCGAGGAGGAGGGAGGAGGAGGAAAAGGGGAGGAGGGAGGAGGAGGCGGAGGAGGCGGAGGAGGGAGGAGGAAGGCGGAGGAGGAGGAGAGGAGGAGGCGGATGAGGAGGAGGAGGAGGAGGAGGAGGAGGAGGAGGAGGAGGAGGAGGAGGCAGGAGGAGCGCATGAGGAGGAGGAGGGAGGATGAGGAGGAGGAGGATGAGGAGGAGGAGGAGGAGGAGGAGCAGGAGCAGGAGCAGGAGTAGGAGCAGAAGCAGGAGCAGGAGCAGGAGCAGGAGGAGGAGCAGGAGCAGGAGCAGGAGCAGCTGCAGGAGCAGTGTCAGGAACAGGAGCAGGAGCAGGAACAGGAGCATGAGCAGGAGCAGGAGCAGGAGCGGGAGGAGGAGGAGGACTAGTTTAAACCCAAGAGCCATCAACGATGTTGGAATGAACCCTCCCTCCAAGCTCCCTCTTCCTAGGCCCCTACAACGGTTCATTTCCATTGAGGGAACTGCCTCGTTGGAAGACAACCGGTTGAAGATCCTGAAGAGTACCAAAACATTGCTCCCGGGTTTTCGCGCCACGTATCAACCTGACTGCTGCGTCTTCACGATCCGGAATCGTGCCAGAACGCCATATTTGGGACTTTGTCTCCGCGAATCTACATAAGTGTTGCGCCCGCATGATCCTGACTCTTTCCTATACATCATGTCTGGTATGTTGATCATGGGAATCCGTGAAACCTTTGCAAATGTTGACAACGAATGTGCGCGGTGCTAAGGCGAGAACCACATTTTGAAAACCACCCCTACTCAATCCGTGCAACTATTTTATTTTTCAACGAAGGTGCGCGGCGCTGAGGCGAAAACCGCATTTCGAAAACGACCCGCTTTCGCTCCGTGCAATTCTTGCAAATTTGTAGAACGAGTGTGCGCGGCCCTATGCGAAAGCAACATTTCAAAAAGGATCCGCCCTCAATCCGTGAAGCTCCTGCAAATTTTCAGAAAGGATGTGCGCGGCGCTAGGGCGAGAGCCACATGTTGAAAACCACCAGCCCTCAATCCGTGAAGCTCGGGCAAGTTCTTCAGACGAATGTGCGCGGCGCTAAGGCGAGAACCACGTTTTGAAAACCACCCGCCCTCAATCCATGAAGCTCTTGCAAAATTTTCAAACGAATGTGCGCAGCGCTAAGGCGTGAGCTGCATTTGGAAAACCACCTGCCCTCCATCCGTGAAGCTGTTGCCACTTTTCAAGCTTGAGAGTCATAACTGGCGAGGAAGTCTCATGCGAAACGCCCAGCCCGTCCTAAAAATCGAGCCACGGGGTGCGACAGGGAGAAGTTATAGAAGGAGAAGAAATGGAGGAGGATGAGGAGGATGAGGATGAGGATGAGGATGAGGATGAGGATGAGGATGAGGATGATGATGATGATGATGATGATGATGATGATGATGATGATGATGATGTGATGATGATGATGATGATGATGATGATGATGAGGAGGAGGAGGAGGAGGAGGAGGAGGAGGCGGAGGAGGAGGCGGAGGCGGAGGAGGAGGAGGAGGCGGAGAAGGAGGAGGGGGGAGGAGGAGGAGGAGGAGGAGGAGGGGAGGAGGAGGAAAAGCGAGGAGGAGAGGAGGAGGAGGAGGAGGAGGAGGAGGAGGAGAGGGGAGGGAGGAGGAGGGGGAGGAGCAGGAGGAGGAGGAGGAGGAGGAGGAGGAGGAGGAGGAGGAGGAGGAGGAGGAGGAGGAGGAGGAGCAGGAGCAGGAGCAGTGTGCACGAGCAGCGCAGGAGCAGGAACAATTGCAGGAACAGGAGCAGGAGCAGGAGCGGGAGGAGGAGGAGGAGGAGGAGGAGGAGGAGGAGGAGGAGGAGGAGGAGGAGCAGGAACATCAGGAGCAGAAACAGGAACAGGAGCAGGAGCAGGAGGAGGAGGAGGAGGAGGAGGAGGAGGAGGAGGAGGAGGAGGAGGAGGAGGATAAGGAGGATGGAGGGTGGAGGGTGGAGGGTGGAGGGTGGAGGATGGAGTGTGGAGGATGGAGGATGGAGGATGGAGGATGGAGGATTTGGGGGGTGGAGGATGGGGGATGGAGGATGGACGATGTAGGATGGGGGATGGAAAATGGAGGGGGATAATGGAGGATGGAGGATGGAGGATGGAGGGTGCAGGATGGAGGATGGAGGATGGAGGATGGAGGGTGCAGGATGGAGGATGGAGGATGGAGGATGGAGGATGGAGGATGGTGGGTGGAGGGTGGAGGGTGGAGAATGGAGGATTGAGGATTGAGGATGGAGGATGGAGGACGGAGGGTGGAGGAGGGTGGAGGAGGAGGAGGAGGAGGAGGACCAGTGTAAAACCAAGAATCATCAACGATGTTGGAATTACCCCCCTCCAAGCTCCCTTTTCATAGGCTCCCACAGCGGTGCATCTCCATTGAGGGAACTGCCTCGTTGGAAGATAACCGCTTGAGGATCCTGAAGCATGCCAAAACATTGTTCTCGGGATTTCAACGCCACGTATCAACCTGACTGCTGCGTCTTGACGATCCGGAATCGTGCCAGAACGCCATATTTGGGACTTTGGCACCGCGAATCAACACAACTGCTGCGCCCGCATAATCCTGGGCCCTTCCAACACATCATTTCTGGTACGTTGATCGTGGGAATCCGTGAAACCCTTGCAAATGTTGAAAACGAATGTGCGCGGCGCTAAGGCGAGAACCACAAGTTGAAAAAGAACCGCCCTCAATCCGTGAAGCTCGTGCAAAGTTTGAAAATGATTGTGCGCGGCGCTAAGGCGACAGCTACATTTTGAAAAGGACCCGCCCTCAATCCGTTGAACTCGTACAGATTTTTACAACGAATGTGCGCGGCGGTAAGGCGAGGGCCACATGTTGAAAAGGAACCGCCCTCAATCCGTGAAGCTTATTTTTCAAACGAATG